CTCTCTCTCTCTCTCACACACACACACACACACACACACCGCTCGCTTTCTCTCTCTCTCTCTCACACACACACACACACACACACACACCTCTCTCTCTCTCTCTCTCACACACACACACACACACACACCTCTCTATCTCTCTCTCAGGTGTCTCTGTCTCAGTCGCTGTCTCATGCTGATTGGTTGCTTGTTGAACTTCTGCATGATCTCTTTGATGCGTGACAGGTTGGAGCGGCCGAGCACAAAGTCGCACCTGCTAGCACCAATGTCGTATCCCACCGAGCAAACCTTGCTGCTGACGCTGAAGCCCTCGGCGCGGACCGTCAACACACAGATCTCTCTCTCTCACACACACACACACACACACACACACACACACAGCTCTCATAGATGATTTTAGTAGATAAAATATTACAAACATATGCTTTGCATGTAACTATTTACATCAATATGGCTTTAATATATCATAAGAGAATTATTTTTGCTTATTGGCTTATTAATTATTTACATATAGTGGCCCCAAAAATATTTGTTTACTCAAAATATCAAAGCGTGTCATTTACTGTAAATAAAGATGCACAAATACGCTTTTTAAAGGAATAGTTCACTCAAAAATCTGTCATGCCATCTGAGATGTAGGTGAGTTTGATCTTTGTCAGGTTTGTAGGAATGTAGCATTGCATCAGTGTCTCACTGCAAGTGAATGGGTGCCGTCAGAATGAGAGCTGATAAAAACATCACAATAATCCACAGCACTCCAGTCCATCAGTTAACATCTGGAGAAGACAAAAGCTGAAACTAATCCAGCATTAAGACGTTTTTAACTAAAATACATAGAGTGCATAATCCATAATAACTCTTCCTCCAGTGAGTCAGTGTTCTGGTGTGAATCAGGAGAGAAATCTGCACAGATCAAGCAGCGTTTAAACAGCTCTAAACACATATGTGGCTGGATTTTGATGTGAGAGACAACAGCAGATGCACTTTTTCACTGGAGGAAGAGTTATTATGGATTATAGACTCAATGTATTTGAGTTAAAAGCGTCTTAATGCTGGATGTGTTTCAGCTTTTGTCTTCTCCAGATGTTCACTGATGGACTGGAGTGCTGTGGATTATTGTGATGTTTTTATCAGCTCTCATTCTGACGGCACCCATTCACTTGCAGTGAGACACTGATGCAATGCTAGGATGAGCACATTTCCATATTTTCATTTTCTCATTTTTGGGTGATCTATTTCTTTAAGCTAAACATTTGGCAAAATTAAAGTGCCCCTATTATGGATAATGAAAGGTTCATATTTTGGTTTTGGGAGTCCTAGCAACAGGTTGACATGCATGCAAGGTTAAAACACACTTTCATTGTCTTATAATATGCATTTATTTTTACCTTACTTGCTCAACGACTCCCAAAAGATTCGCTCAACGATTAATTTTTCCAAACCCCTCCTTTGCGTGACGCTAATCTGCGCTGATTGGCCCGATTTTTTTATTTCAAATTTTTATCAAGTTTTCCCGGGTCTCCGCGTGCAACAAGTGGGCGGGACATATGCTAATGTTTCATGTTGACGTCAACATAAAACGGCTTGGGATTCGACTCGTTTCAATGATTCAGAGTCGACTCTTTCTTTTGAGAGACAATAACTTTATACATGGTGCACGTTCAGATTTAAAATACGTGCAGGATGTTTTCATTCACTTAGAGCTGTGTTGCACACTGCATGAAAGCTCATTTTCAAACATCCATAATAGGGGCACTTTAAGTTCGTCTGGTTTGAAATAAAACTCATCATGTGAACATGATGTCGACTAAAGGTCGCTGAGCAAAAATGAAAAGTGTTTGAGAACACACAGATACAGACACTTGCTTCTGTGTGACAAAATGTGGCTTAAGCGTCCAAATGTGTTTAAAAAATCCGGTTTCTCCCACTGATTAGAAGTCCATGAGGAAATTCTTCCATAAAAATCCCTCAATGACAAAGTGAGTTGACAAAATCAGCTCAGGCTGATGAGATCCACTCTGGTGAAGCAAGCGTTCACCCTTCAGTAAAGATGCATGAGATCCGGCTCGGGCTTCAGATGTGAAGGTAATTATCCTCCGGCACCGAAGGCCCCTGCTCTCCCAGAAACTCTTCCGGTCTGGTTTGGCAGTCGAACAGTGCTGTCACAAACACACAGAACCATAAGCATGCGAGTTTCTGCAATGCAATCATGCTGATTTATAGTATCTGTCTGTGTTTTTACCAGCGATGCCTGATAGAGTTGTGTGCAGCAGGTCCGAGGAGCCCAGATTGTCCTCAAACATGGGCATCTGCATCATGGAACAGGGAGCAATGTGTTTGGCAGCCTGCGGTGAGTCACTGTATGAGAACACGGTCTGGACATCGGCAGAGAAACCTGACGGTGTTAATGCAGAAAAACATCACGCCATTTGATTATTCACAACACCAAACGACATTACAATCTAACGGCTGTAGTGCAACTACTGCGTCCTTCATTTAAGAGTCCAGGCTTGAACGATGTCTCCTCAGGGCGACATTTGAGCTTGGGAGAACTTTATACAATCTGTATGATGAGATTAGACGTGGATCTATTTTTGCCTGCCATCTGTCGCTCTAAGAGTGGAAGGACCAGTTTGTGAATCATTCAGCGCTGATCGGTTTGTTCTCAGCTTACATCTTAAATATGCATTTTGCATCTGCTTACTGCACATATGGAAGATATGTAAATGTGCTTATATATAGTGTTGGATGCCACACAGATGTGCTGCCTATTAGTGTTGCTAGGGTGGTGGTGTCTGGTTGCTAGGACGGCTGTTCGATTTTTTGCTGCACAATTAATTGAAATGGAAACCGAAATCGCAGTACTTGTCAGCTTTAAGAATTTCCTGCAATTTTATTCAGCATAAAAGTTTGAAGATTAAGCCATCTGTAAGCATTAATATTGTTATTTTACATTTTTAATCTAAAAGTAAATTGGTCAGGAAAGTTTCTCTTTGTGTCTTTTTTCTGTAATATTTTATTTAAAAGAAATAATGAATTATGAAGATTATATATATATATATATATATATATTAAAATCGCATTTTAAATTGCGCTTTTTATCAGATTTTTTTGTATCTGCAGGTGGTTGTAAACGGGTTGCTTTTTAAGTTTGTAAAAAAAATTTACTTAATGCACATAAAATTCAACAAAAGTGTAATGGTTTAACATTTGAAAATAAAGCAATTAAGACATCCATAAAAATGAATATTGTCATTTTACAGTTTTAATGAAATAAATAATAATAATAATATTTGTTCTTAAATGCTTGATTTTTTTTTTTTTTTTTTTTTTTTTTTTTTAAATTTTTC